TACACAATGTTCCTGTTGTGCCCTCACAGAATCCTCACAGAGTCCCCAGTGTCTCCCCATACTGTCCCCACAGTGTCCCCACAGTGTCCCCACTCTCTGGACAAACCATTGGGTTTGTCTCCTCAGTGTGTTGGTCAACGTGGACTTAAAGAGTTCCAGCCATGAAAACATCAGGAGGATTGACACAAATCAACACTTCAGAAACAAACTTATGCCTATGCAATTTTTTTCCCTTTTTTTTCCTCAGAGAATCTCAGAATATCCAGGAAGGGACTTCTGGAAACCATCCAGTGCAGCCAGGATCACCTGGAGCAGGTGGGTTTGGGATGGCTCTGGAGACAGCACACTCTCCCTAGGAACCTGTTCCCATCCTCTGCCACCCTCATGAAAAATTCTCCCTCATTCTGAGGTGAACTCCTCATGTTTTAGTTTACTAAACTCCTTCATCACTCTTTCCATCAAAAACAATGTCCTGCAGCTTGGAACTGAGTAACCCCAAATTCTCACCTGGACAGAGCCTCAGTTCTCTGCCCATCCAGAGCTTCCTGCATTAGTCTGAAAAACCCTCCATCAAAGACCTTTAGTACCTCAAATATTTCCTCACTTCCATTCAATTTTGGCACCCTGAGATCGAGCAGCTGCTTCTCTCACCTCCACCTTAGAGCTCTCACAGGAGTTGTCAGTGTTACCTTCTGAAATAAACTGAAACTCTTACTCAAAACTTCACTGTTTGGATCACTGTGCCAACTGTACCTAATTTCCATTTTTTTTAAATTTGAAAAAAACAGGTTCAGTCTCTGAATTGCCTTTTATTTTTAGTTAGCTGCTGTGTTTTTTATTTACATGGTTTTGTATAGCAAATACAACTGCTGTTCGTGACAAACACATGATTTACAAAATGAAGAATAAAGAATTGTGTCAGCTAGAGAGAGAGAGGGAGAAGGAAGATGAAACAAGCACAGGAATACACAGGAGGGAAACAGAAGCAGCAAGAACATTGTGTTCATCAGCCACAGACACAAATTAGCTTGGGAAAGAGATCTGGAAATTGTATTAACTACTGCTATGAAAGCATCAGGTAAGTGTTCAGTCATGTGAACAAATGAAGCTTTAAAAACATGAGAGAAGGAGCAGAGAACAAAACTGTGATAGACTGCACTTATTTATAATTCCCTTAGAGTATTTTTATTTCGTAAGACAGGCAATTCTTGCCTTGGATTAAATTTAACAGGTAAATATTGAAAATTGGTATGGTTTAGCTTAGGATTTATAATTCAGCACCATTTTAGAAGCAGGCAAAGTTCCCAGACCCCAGAGGGGTTTGGTGACCTGAAGGAATTGGGGATGGGCTGGCATGTCAGGGTGGTTGTGAGCTGCATTTCCCACCTGGATGCCACCAGCTGGCACAGGTGACATCCCTGGGACAGGGACAGGCAGCTCCTCCTCCAGCCCTTCCTCCAGCACTCAAAAAGCCACCACGACTTTGCTCCTTCTGCAAGAACCTGGCATTTTACACTCTGCTGGAAGACTTTTCCTCCTTTCAGTCAGCACAGCTGAACAATAGATAATAACAACCTTTTCCCTTTGTGTGCATGTTCTGCTCTTTTTCACTACTTAAATTTAAAAAAAAATACAAAAATGGAACATATTTACCCTCCAGGTGGCTCTTAGTCCTAAACTCATCCCATTATTTTATTTCTACAAGCAATGCAATTTTTTTTTTTAAATTATGCCCTGTAGGGTACAGAAGGGGTTTTTTATGTAGTCAAAAAAGCCATTGCACGGAGCTGAACTAAAGTTTCAGCTTGCATTAGTTTAGCTTTAAGCCAGAACCATCCATCTTTTAGGCACATAATCTGATCTCTTCCTCTTGTAAAATATTATAGGTTTTCTGAAGAATTGCAGCTGTAAGAAAATTAGGAGCTGTAACTCACCTGTAGATAAAATAATTTACTTTTCATGCACAAATCAAGGAAACAATGTCTCAAACAAAATTTATTTGTTCAATACCTGAATTCTGACTCATCTTCATAGAGATAATGGAATTGAATATGCACATTTGAACACTGGATTGACCAAAAATCCCCAAATTTAATTTAAACATATATATCAGTGGAAATGTCAGAGCTGTGTAGGCTTGGGGGCTTTATCACATCCTTGCTTTTGCTTCTGCTTCTCCATAGTGACATTGAACACAAGGAATCCTTGTTCTCACCGTAGCTGCCCAAAGCCTGGCATGTTTCTGCAGATTTTTGCAGATTTATCCTGTTTATTTGTTGGTTTGTTTTTGTTTTGTTTTTTTTTTTTTTTCCTAATACTTCATATCTCGCTGCATTAATCTTTTCCAAGCAGAAGCATCACTTTTGGATTATTATCTCAGTGTACATTATTGCACGAGGAGCATGCACCACTTCTTTACTCTGTGTGTTACCTTTTAAGTACAAAAAGTATTAAAAAAATTAAAAGCTCAAAGAAACAGAGATTCCAGAATTGATAATGGCCCCTGCCAAGGCACACTGCTGGGTGTCCAAAACCTTCACTCAAGGTGTTAAAAGAGAACTGGAATTTTTGAGGTGTTCTGTAAATGCACACAAATAATCAGGATATGAATATACAAAGATTCATCTCCTGCAGAGTGCAGGCTCAGGAGGTGCAAGCAGGAAAGCCATGCTGACAATCCACACCACCAAATATTTGTAAATCCCAGATCCCAGCTCCTTCCAGAGGGGTTTGATCTCATGTTTAAGCAAATCCTCACTCGAAGGAAGGCTGGAATTAGCCAGGAGCTGGCTTAGTAACTCCAGCACAAGGGAAAGTGCTGAGCTTTCCAGGAGATCCATGAATGGACGAGGGGAGGCTTTTTAAAGGTTATGAAGTCCTTCTTTCTCCCTGTGTCTGAGAACTCTGATTGAAGTGAAAGGAACCTCTGTCCTCTTCATTTCAAAGGGGGTTTTGTCAGCAAAAAAGAGCTTGATCAAAGTGGCCAGCAAGCATGCTTAGTGCCTAATGCTCAGAGTTAATGTATCATTCCCAGCCATTTCTATTTCCAATTATTCCAAGGGTTTAGGGAAGTGGCAGCCTGTGCGTTTTCCCCTCGAAGGTCACCCAAACCTATCAGCCAAACCCTGAAATCCAGTATAGAATAGCTTCCTGGGAGATTTAAAGCTCTGAATGAAAATTATAAAAGTTGAAAACAGAGTTAAAATCTCGAGCCCGACGCCAAATACAACGAAATGAAAGGGCAGCTATGAAAATAGCAGATTCCCCAAATTACAGCAGGAAGGGACAGTGATGAAAAGCAGCAGGAAGCTCCTGATTTGAGAGATTTATATCAAAACTATTTGTGTCAAGAAATGGGTTTGAAATGAAAGGGAATTGTGCTTTGTGTGTGGAGGTTACCACAGGCATCGGGAGCTCTCTAAAGGAACCTGCTGCAGCTGTTTCCTGTGCTCTAAAATCTTGGATTCTGACTCAAAAGATAAATCTACTCTTGACTGGGCTCTTTTACAGCCCAATTCAACAAGTGAGTTAGCAATAATGCAGATAGGAAACCAGAGGAATTTGGGGTGGAATTCTCAAGTGAAACCATTGGGCACCTGCAGGAGTGCAGCTCAAACCCCCAGAAATGTGGGGTTTTACCACCTGGAAAAAGGAAACTTTGTAAAGCAGGGACTAGTGAAGAAAATAATGATTATGACTGGAACTAGAAAAGTATTGTTAAAATCAGTACCTAATAAAGATGACATTTATGCCCTTTAACTTTGGAAAATAAGAATAGAGAGATTTACTCAATTGTTACTTAGAAAAACATAGCAGAGAAAAATCATGAAAACCAAGTTTACAAATGTATGCAAATTTATCCCAAAATCTCCCACCTCAGAAGGCAAACACAAGATAATTCTTTTTTATTTTTTATAAATCAGTGCATTTTGAGGAGCTGGGAGCTCCCCAGCTTGTATCAAAAAATTACAGCAACCCCTATCCTGCAACCTAAAATATCAATAAAGTAAGACTCATGGAGCATTGAACACTGTTTTTATTTTTATTCAGATTTCAGAAGCCAGAGTGAAGGACTTGCCATGAAGGGGACTCTGGAAAACTGTCCCAGAAGTAAGAGATGCTCCCTTTCCTCCTCAGAGCTCTGTAGTTCTGCTGGATTTCAGCACAAGGGTAGGAGTGGGGCTGCTTTCTAAAAACTAATTTTCAAACAACTGGAAAATAATAAAATCACAGAATCACAGAATGGTTTGGGTTGGAAGAGACTTAAAGGTCATCTCATTCCATGGGCTGGAACCCCTTCCACCAGATAAAAACAAGAAATTAGGAAATACACCACGAGTACTTTTCATAAAAATAAAACCCACCTAAAAGCTCACCTATAAAACCTCAACAAACCCCCCTTGACAATTGCTGTCTTCTGGATTAATGGCCTGGATTTAACAATTTTCCTTTCTGATTCACAATGGCAACATTTTCCCTGCCCACCTTGCTCTGAGGTTGGTGTCAGTGCTTTGTGCTGATCTGGAGTGGCAGTGTGATATAAATGCAGTGGGAATGTTTGAGAAAACCCTGAAAACCCCAAAATTCTCCCTAGCTGGGGTAGAACCACGGTGAGAACCATTTCCTGCTGTGCAGAAAGAACCCAGGTCTCACTCCTGGAAACAACTCCCTGCTGCCAATTGGAGTCAGGGGATGTTTCCCTCAAAAGGAAGATTTTACTTTTATCTGGCTGGGATGCAAATCACAGGGAAGCTTCTTGTCACTGGTGTGGGATCAGTGTCACCTCTGCTCTGTATTTCCCCCATTTCCTGCAAAATGGGGCTGAGAGTCTCCCCAGCAAAACCAGAGTCTCTCACAGCGTTGCTGGGCATCAGGAAACACAAATATTTGCTGGGCTGCAAGAGGAGTCAAAAGGAAAATGAAAGTGTTTTGTGGCAGAGAGGAATGGAGACAATGTTTGCAGTGCTCTGTGCACACATTTGTAATAACAAAAGGAAGTTTGGAGCTGTCCTGGGCAGTTATGCAACCAACATGCAGATTTAAAGATGTATTCAAGCTTCACTTTGCTGTACTTCCTTCTCAAAGGTTTTTTAAAAGAAAATGGCATAAAAAGACACTTTTAGTGTGCAGACAGCAGTCACAGCAAAGCTGATGCAGCATTCCCACCTGCACTTTGATTCAGTGGGATCTGCTGCTCCAGGTTAAACACACAAATGCTCTGAGCCTCACCCTCACAGCAGCTCCTGCCTCCTCTGGAGCCCTGCTCAGCTCAGGAATTCCCTCTCAAATAAAAGAGGGGACAGCTTTGCCCCTTGGCACATCCAGCTGCTTCACTCCTGTGCTTTTGGGTAAAAACCCCAGTGGAAGGGGCAGCAGTGAGTTCATTTTGGAAGCTGGAAAGGACTTTGAGCTCGGAAGCCCCTCCTGGAGTGGCAGGACAAAGGGAATGGCTTCCCACTGCCAGAGGGCAGGGATGGGGATGTGGGGAAGGAATTGTTCCCTCTGAGGGTGGGCAGGGCCTGGCACACTGCCCAGGGAGTGTGGGTGCTCCTGGATCCCTGGAATTGTGTGTTCCTTGTGTCCCAGAGCAAGACCTGCTCATAAAATTCCTCTGAACTTCCCTAAGAAAGAAAGGAAGGAAAGAGGGAAAAGTGGGAACTGAATTGTGGCCATGGGGAAGAACAGACAGGGCAAGAGGGCACTGGTGGAAGTGAGGGAATGGAGATTCCTTTAAATCAGTTCTGACATGTGAGCCTTGGAGGGCTGAAAGTGAAAATCATGGGTTACTCAAGGGAGTGACAGGATGAGAGGACAAAAGTTTCAGCTGTGCCAGGGGAGGTTTAGCTGGACATGAGGAGGAATTTCTTCACAAAAAGGGTGTTGGACAGAGGAAGGGGCTGCCCAGGGAGGTCGGGAGTCCCCATCCCTGGAGGTGTTCAGGAATGACTGGGTGTGACATTTTACAAGGTGGTGATCAGCCAGTCGTAGGTTGGACTCAATGATCTCAGAGGTCTTTTCTAATTAAATTGATTGTTTGTATTTGTGGAATATTTGTGGAATATCTGTAGAATATTTGTGGCTCTCAGGGCACAGCAAACCCCCAGCCTGCAGAAGGCCAGGTCCTTGGGAAGGGGCAGGATTTATGGGACAGCCAATGCAGAGAAGAGCAGGAGCAGCCGGAACTTCAGAGATCTGAAGAGGTGCCCAAACCACGTGGGACCATTTCTGTGGAACCTGCACAGACTTCCCAAGGAAAATCAGGGAATGGCACAGGCGTGGTGGGAATTTCTAACCCTGAAATCCTGAATAATCCCGTGAGATTACAAAAGAGGACATTGGTGCTTCTGGCTACTCCAGGTATAGGAAAAAAATCTTCCAAGACAAAAGAATGGCTGGGTTTGGTAATGTTTCTGCAGGTACCTGAGTTGTGTCACTAATTAATCATTCTTGGAAACAAAGGAGGAATAAAGGAGTGGAAAATAATGCCATTATATAATAGGAAAATTGCATCAGAGTTCCATTCTTCAATTGAAAAAAAAGCCAGTTCAATAGGTAGGTTTTCAAGGATCCCAAATTAATCCATTCCCTTTTCCACCAAGTATTTGGTGGTTGGTTGTTGATTAATTTCTTTGCACAATTCTCTGGATTTAAACACACAGGTATTTTGTGAACTTTTCCTGAAGTCACAGGTTAATCCTTTTGAGGAAAATATCCATAAAGCTGCAAGGAGCTGTAATCCCAACCTGCCTGCCTCATCCAAACTGCACTTGTAAGGGACCAAGCAAGCAGTGACCTCACATCACCTGGGTCACATTAAAACATTGCAGCTTGGGAAGCTGTGGTTGCATGTCCAGCTTTCCTTTTCCTTTTCCTTTTCCTTTTCCTTTTCCTTTTCCTTTTCCTTTTCCTTTTCCTTTTCCTTTTCCTTTTCCTTTTCCTTTTCCTTTTCCTTTNACCCTCACAGCTGTGGCTGGATTTAACTGCACAGCGGTGCCCGTGGCCCCGGTTAACAGCGGGCATCCCATCGTGGCACCGAGCAATCCGTCGGAAGACAAAGTCCCTGCCCCGAAGAGAACAGCACAGGAACTGTTTTTTCTGGTGATTTAATCGTAATATTGACAACTTTATCAAAAATTACAAAACTGATATTAAAAAAATTCTCTAATTCTTAGTAAGACTAGAATGGGTTTTTTTTTTTTAAAAAATAGAAAAGCACTTTTATGCTACGGCTCTTCTGGAATTCTCACATTACAACCCTACATAGCAAAATACAAACTGTAGCTAAGAAAGGTAATTCAGTCCTAAGGTAATTCAGTCCACCACGAGCCCTCTAATATCTCTAGACCATCAAACTCAGGGACTCCAAAAGGATTTCACATGACTTATAAACCTTCTGCAAAGATGATTTCGGAAAGATCTTGGAATTTGAAGTTTCTCTTAACCCCTAAAACCTTAGACTGTGAGGATAACAGACCTGGGACATCAGAGGTGGGGTGGGTTGGTTTTTTTTTTTTTTCTTTTTTAAAAATTATTTTTAAACTATGTGGATATTTTTTTTTTTTTGTTTGCAGCTGATACCAGCCAGGAAGTCGAAAATACGAAGAAAATCCATCGAAAGAAATGAAAATATTTTTGTTTCGTTTCGTTTCTGGCGTTCACACAACGCACCATAATAGAAAGAGGAATAATTTCCTTTAATTTGAATGTCATCTGAATGACTCAACCACATTTGTCACCCACTTAAGCAAAAGAAAGCATAATAAATAAATAAATAAATAGACAAGAATATGCAACACTTTACATCCTCAAGGAATCACGGCGTTCCCTAAATCTACCGAGGTCCTGATCGGCGTCGTGGGCTCGCTGTACTTTCGGGTGATTGTGCCATGTTAATGACAAATCCAGTGGTGTTCCACTTTCCACAATGAAGTATTATTTTTTTTTGTGTGTTTTTTTGTCCTTTTTTTTTTTTTTTCTCCACCTTTTAAATATAGGAATTCTCTCTTAAATTAGAAAGTAGGCAAAAAGTATTTTTTTTTTTTAAATTTTCATTTTTAAGTCTTCTATTAGAAAAAATAGAGATTTATTAAACAAAAAATAATAAGGTAGAAAGAAGGGTTGGGCCTCCATCAAAAAAGTAGATTATGCTTTAATGCAAAGAGAAAGAAATGGCTCTATGGGCAAAATTCAAGTATGAGTGACCAGTTTTTTAATCGTAAAGTCGGTGCAACATTTCTTAAAATGTTACAACACTGCATGACCTGTAATGCTCACAATATTTACATTAACTGCTTACATGAAACCATAAAAACCCTAAAAGAGAGAAAAAAAAAAATCGGTATGGACTGAAACAAACTACTCCTAGCACCCACATCAATGCCATTATTAACCGAGGAAATCAAGTGCACGAGAATACTTTACATAATCTTAGGGATGTAAAGTAAAACAGGGAGGGAGCACAGACCTAAGGGCCCAGGGAGACACCAACGGAGCTCTGGGACACGGAGCAGAGGGAGGAGAAAAAGGGAATGCCGAGGGAGAGGGGCTCCAGCGCTGCCCACACGGACGGGACGGGAAAACGGGAGCTGGCAGCCCTGAACAGCTCCGGGAGGAGGAGGAGGAGGAGGAGGAGGAGGAGCAGAGACAAATGAACCTGCCCGC